GCTCGCATTTTGCGAGTTCCATTTTCGGTCATCTTTTGCGAATCGCAAAATGTCCAAGAGGCTGTATGCGCTAACAGGAAGTATGTGCACTGGTGCAGCTTGTATGGCTTCTGTCTTTGTAACTTGTAGGAAGCCTCTAATAATTCCCTTTAAATTCAACAATTTTCAGTGAATACAGACTGGTAGCAGTTGGTCTGTTGGCCAGGTGACACGAGCATCTTTAATTTCTTAAACGATGAACTAACAACTGGTGAATGCTTTCAGCTCTCTCGTGCTTAGGTTGAAAACTTTATTATTTTGTAATGAAGTAATGAGTTTTTTTCGTATTTTGCTACTCGTGAAATTAACGGCACTCAGATTGTGACAAGGTTTTCTTTTGGTCTTTCTTTTGAAATACTTATGCCAAAATATCAGTTGCGATTGCGGCTCAGCCGGATAATTTGTAAAGTTTTAAATTTCCAGCATGACACGCAGTGTTACCGATACAGTGCGTTGAAGTAGAAGTTCATTATTTCGGTAGTTGCAAGCCGCTGTACTCTCGTGGTAGAAGGTATGTAGAAGCTAGGTATTCTAGCTGTATAGATGTGGTAGGAGCTATGCGGTCCCAACATGGCGGTGCCTGAGTGGCCGCCTTCTCGAGCATGATCGTTAACTGAAACCTACGGTGCGCTGGAACAGTGTTGTGAAGAGCTGACTTGTTTATAAGTTGTTTGACTGGTGATATTTGTTAATATAACAATTGTTTTTGCTAGGTTTCTTGATGACGTCATCACTTAAAGAGTAATTAATCTAACCTAGGCTTTTCGCACTTTGTGTGGCCTTTATATTCCAAGTACTGACTGCTCACTATTAGTATTGCGTATGTGAGTGCCGGGTGTTTCGTTCAAAGCTTAACTTCTTTGTTTTAAGAAAAAGCTCTGAATGGTACACTAATACGATTTGTGTAGGTGAATTATCGGTCAAGGGTGCTTAAATACATGAGGTTAATTGCAACGCAATCGGTTAACTAAGATATTTTAATTAACTTTTTTATTATTAAAATAAACCTATGGTTCTATCAAGAAACGTGTGGAGCGTCATCGAAAACCACATTATGAATTAGAAAGACTTGACACACGTGGCAAGCAGGGGATTGCGCCAAAGTTACAACTCCTGCAGCAGGAGCAAGGCTACTGACGAAATAACGCGCGCGCCTGCGTGCTTTTTTTTTTCTTATTCGCGTTTTTATATCTCAGCCTTGCTCCTGTTGCACCAGTGGTAACCTTAGCGCACTACTCCATTTTCAACGCGCAAAGATTGCTTGCGAAAATCTTAATTAGTGCATTTTGATGGCGCTCAGGAAATATCAGATTGAAACCATCTGTCTATTTTAACTAATTAAAAGATAATTAATACGTTTTATTTAATATTCCAGCTTCATTTGACGGCTTGCACCTTGTATTGCGTCCAATCTCCCAATTCATTAAGTAAAATGTATTCAACCAATTTCATGTACAATCTTAAACTTTTAGTGACCACTAACCCTCTATAATATGTCCCCCTGGCCGTATAACTAACCCACACACTCCACATTAAGGTAGTTTTCACGACGTGTTTAAAAAAATGATTATGCTTAACATAACACTCTATATACACGTTTATACACGCATACCAGTAAACGAAAGTAGACATAACTTTCGTTTACTGGTATGTGTGCATAAACGTGTAGTATATACTATAAATTCTCTAACTGTTGTTGCTTTCCCCTTCAGGTAATGAATTACTAACTACCTTTGAGCCGAAATATAAAAAAATGACCTATAATTAAATTATTTAAAAGAACTTCGATACTGTAACCTATGTAATGTTTTAATTATTAATATATACAGGATGTTTCATGGAAGAGTGACAAATATTGCTAGAATTTGTGTATTCCAGGTAAACAGATCCTTTTCTCAGGACCGCATTACTCCTTGTGGCGGTAGTAAAAAATGCGCTACATTTACTAATTAGTTCGCTAATTAATTGAGAATAACTACTTAACTTTTTAATGGTTGAAAAGCGACATATGGTTTCACTTAGAAACTTGCTCAGCGTCATCGAAAACCACTAAATCAATAAGTTTCCGAAATACTTTGAGCACGTGAGAAGCGTAGTAGTCCACGAAAGTTAGCACTGGTGGAATTAGTACAAGGCTAGCGGTTGTGGTAAGGCACCCGCGAGGCTTTTTTGTCTCTTAGCGGAGCCCAGCCTTGGACCTGGTGTACGAGTGGTAACTTTAGCGCGGTACTACGCTTCTCACGCGCTCAGTCTTTCTAAAATTACTGATTTTTTGTTTTCGATGACGCTCAGCAAGTTTCTAATTGGAACCATATGTCCATTCTCGATAATTAAAAAGAGATTTAGTATTTCTTAATTATTAACCAACTAACTATTATGTATCCCGCATGTCTTGACGTCCGCAACCGCCAGTAGTGCGTTCCCGAAAAAATTATTCTTTTACCTCGAATACACTATAACTGTAGGAAATCTGTCACTGTTACCTGCAACACTGTATATATATATATATGTGTGTGTGTGTGTGTGTGCGTGTGCGTGTGTGTGTGTGTGTGTGTTTGTGTGTATATATGTATATATATAAGTGTTTTTTGAAGCATAACAGGATAAAAAAACATAAAAGCTAGATTGTTGCGGTCTCCGCGCGTGAGTTAAACGGGCAGGGGGACATAGTATAGGGGACTAATCGTAACGATCAGTTGGCTACTTAGTTAAAATTCCTAAATTAACTTTCTTGATTAATAAAGATAGACATATAGTTTCAATCAGAAACTTGCTCAGCGTCATCAAAAAACCACTATATCAGTAATTTATAGAAAGAATATGAGCGGGTCAGAAGAATATATGAATATATATATCCTGACTACGCCGTTCTTTTGGATTTCGGTGGGTTCTTAAAAACTTTGAATATTTGATTAATTGGATTAAGTACGGTTCATTCATCTGCATATCTTCATTTATTAATTATATATATATATTTTTACGAACCCGCCGAAAGCCAAAAGAACGGCGGAATCAGGATACATATATATATATATCGTGTACCCTACACTACAACCAAGCTCCCACGCCATAATTTGAGCTAGGGAATAAGTACTCACTTGCATTATTTCGGGATCAGGACAGATATGGGTTCGATCAATCCAAATTGGACAGTTGGAACGCACTGTACATGACTTGCTTTCTTGACACCAACCGCAGCCGTATTTTTCGTGCAGCTCATGGCATTCTCCACAGTTTTGTGCCATTTTGGCGCAATCGTACACAACGACTGAAACAGAAAAGACGCGGTAGATTTTTGTGAAGTCAAAAGTTCCCATCTTTAATGGGAACTTTATTAGAATCCTGGGATGTCCGGTAACAAACTCAAGCATGTACGTCTGTTAGATCTAGGGTCTCCAACATTATGCTATACAAGCTATACAAGCTCCCATTTTATGCTGTACACTGGTTGGTGAGTAAAACTATGTATCTATTTTACAGAGTAGCTCTTAGGTGCCCGCTTCCAGGTGGAGCGGCGCCCATGTTGCCATCCTCGCTGGCGCCGGAGTCGGCGTAACTGCGCCAAATTTAGCGAGGAAATGACGTCACATGACTTGGTGTCACACCAACTATGAACAAATTCAGTTTCTTCGCAAGATTTAGCGGGAAAATTGACGCCACGTGACCTCAACACCAAATCAGAGGAAAATAACGTCGCTCGACTAGGTGTCGCGTAACCCATGAACAGTTTCAGTTTCTCCGCTAAATTTAGCGGGAAAATTGACGTCACGTGACCTTGAAAGTAAATCTATCCCTGCTAAATTTACCGGGAAAATTGACGTCACGTGGCCTGAGCACCAATTCAGTTTCCCCGCTAAATTTAGCGTTGAAAATGGCGTCACGCGAAGTCGTCCACGACACCTATGAACAAATTGGGTTTCTCTGCTAGATTTATCGGAAAAAACTGATGTCATGTCGACTCAGCGGCTATTCAATTCCCCCTAAATTTAGCACGAAAATCGACGTCGCCTGACCGCAACACCAATTCAGTTTCCCCGCTAAATTTAGCGGGTAAAATGACGTCACATACTCGGTGTCACGTGCGGAGGAGGAGGAGAAAAGGTACGGAGGAGAGGGGGGGGGAGAGGAGCAGGAGGAGTAGGGGAGGAGGAGGAGAGAGGAGGAGGGAGAAAGGAGGACGAGTAGTGGGGGAGAGAAAGAGGAGAGGAGAGGAGGGGGAGGGGAGGGGGAGGACAAGGAAGGGAGAGGAACAGGAAGAGGAGAGGAGTGTTGTAAGAACGGCTGACTGGTCGTTAGTAGATGAAGCCAACAACAGCATTTATATACAAATATTTACATTAAAATGTCCGGAATCGTCCGCTCATGGCCAGGCTTCGATCCATCTCGTGCATTCTATTTCTCGAGCTCCCGCTTCTTCTTTCCCTTTGTCGGGATGCCCGCTTCCATACAATAAGTTTCAACAAGGAGAGGAGGGGGAGGAGGAGGCGAGAGGAGCAGGAAGAGGAGAGGAGAGGAGGTGGATGAGCAGGAGTAAAGGAGGGGAAGACAATGAGCAGAGGAGGACTCGAGGAGGAGGGGTGGAGGAGAGGGTACGGAGGAGGAGGAGGGACATACCCTCCCCTCCGTACCCACCCCTTTTCCTCCTCAAGAGCTGCTCTCTAATTTCTCGTTACTGAGATTTGAAAACGTCTTCATTGTTTTGTATTTATTGTTGTTATTATTTAGTATTATTTAATATTATTGTATTTCCATACAGAGCTGAGAATTCAGCATGAAATTCGTCTGATTACAGATGGTTTGTACAACATAAAAACGTTATTCAAGCGCCAAGTATTTCCAAATGAATATCAGTTAGGTGTCTATTGTAGTTCTACCTCAGCGTGCACGTTCACACTTTACTTTTTATTATCAAGATGGCTCATTATTTAAGCAATAAAAACTTCAAAAAACCGTACCATGAATGTTATCAGGATTGTCCAGGATATTTTTCGCCTCCCAAATGACTGCGAATTTTGTCGTCGTGTTTGCGTCATCCGAGTCGTATTTGAACTGAAATCACAACAGTACAGGGTTAATTTTCAATCTGACAAAGAGAGGACTAGATCAAGATGTTTTAATTTACCAAGAAAAGTTTGAGAAAAAGAGCCCCAGGATGTTTAAGCAACGAATCATACGTACGGGAATTCTTCCACAGTATAGGCTGTCTCCCAGGAGCTGGCCGTTGACTTGCTTTACTTTTCCTTCGATAAGAAACTGGCAAACAAATCTTGACTGTATCATAAAGGCCTGAAACAACGACCGAATCGTAAAAATTCTGTCAACACTTTATTTTATTATGCTCATATATGTATGTAAAGAATTTTGTGAACCTTAATTAAAATTCTTCTATGGCAGAAGTTTCTTAGTTCCGATAGATTTTCATTGCAGTCGGAATTGTACTAAAACACTTTAAATGCAGTTTCTTGAATGTATTAAAAATTCAATAGTTTTTGCGCTGAGGCTTGATGTGAATGTTGCATTTATATTTCGAATACAGGTTAATCGATCTTACTCTTCGGTGGCTATACCTTTAGGCAGTTTCTCTTTCCAAAGTACTTAAATCCTTCCTTTAACTCTGAGCTTTAATTCTAGTGGCATAAAAATGTGTATTAAACCAAATTTCCTCACCGGAATATTTTCCACCTGAATTCGAATCCCTTGGGTCGTACCCTTTGGCACTATGATTTCGTTGGAACTGCTTGAAGATTTTCGTATTCGAGGGCAAAGGTCGGCTCCTCCTTGAATACTGGGACCTGCGCCCTGAGACGATGTATTGAAAGGTAATGGTCGAACATGTTAAAGTGTTACCTTTGTGGCAAATCCTACACACAGTTATGAACGTTGTCCTTGATAAAGCGGTGGAGTATTTCCGTACATTTTTCTCCGGCGAATTCATCTCTAATTAACAGGTGCCCAGGTGATAAATACGGAAGGTACCTGAGTGACCACCTGATAATGAACAAACACATTGAAACGTTTGCTTCTGGTTTTTTTTAAATGCCAATTCAGCTAATTTGATATTTAGCGTAAATGTTCTGAAATTGTGCTGTGACTCAAGTGCCGGTGATTTTGGTCATTTTTATACATCACCAGGAGTCAACCCGATGCAAACGAGAGATCAAGCCTTCTTGATTTCATCTAAACTATTAAAAAAAATGTAATCTACGCCTTCCAAAGAGACAATCACGGGCCAACTGAAACCTAATACTAAGGTCACTTGCGTCTTGAATGAGCAGTGAGTAATAAAAGAAGTGAAAACAACAGTTTCTAAGAAAACTAACCACTATTTTTACATGAATTGGATGCAGCAATCAACACTCACTGGAGATGTGAGAGTGATATCGTTGTGACAATTTTCCCTGCTATTGTGTGTGCAAAGGTGTCTCTCTATGCACCAACTGCAGGGGGACGCCGTCGAGGTGCACTCCGTGCATCTGAAAAAATGGGAACACTGAGCGAGACCGGTAAGTATCGTAAGTTGCACCACAAGGAACGCGGCCATCTCGAAGTCAATTTCACTAGTGCGAAATAATCATTGCATTTAACTAGTTTGCACGGCCAAGAACCGCCTAACTAGTCACACGCGTGGCGATCTCAGGGGTCTAAATTGGATATTATACGGATTCACGCCAAGGCGTTATTTAGTGCCACACTACTTTATTTTAAGCTTTCTATTGCATTCTACGGCAGGGTTTATCCAAAGATGCCACGTATTATTCGAACAGCCAGCAGTGAAGACTAATTCTGGTACTTGTTTGGCAATTTTGTTGAAAAAAAGTCGCGAGGTGAAAACCGAAGAACTAGAATTGATACCTAACTCCGGCACTTGTTTGGCAATTTATCGACAAAAGATGCAAGAATACGGTTGAAGACCAGGCAGTAAAGCCATACTTTGGCACTTGGTTCGCGATTTAGGGCCCAGATACTCAGACTCAGGTCAAAGACAGTTAAGTTTTGTTCTACCTCGGCTTCTTCGAACATTTCGAAGCCCTAATTACACAAACAAAAGCTAGACTTTAGCCCAAACAACTGTGCTACATTGAGCAATTGTCGAATTATGTATTGCTACTGACAGAAGGAACAAAATTCCAAATAAGTCACATCAAGTGACCTCGACTTTTGGCAGACAAGTTTGTGAAACTGTTTTAATTATCCCAAGTAATATTGGGGTGTTGTAGATATGTTGTGAGAATGTTTCGAACGTTGTGGGTCTGTTGGGAGATTTTAAGCAACGGTCGCGTGTGTGTGTACGCACTCTAGAAAACGTTAGCAAACGCCAATGTGTGAATAGGACTTTACAATGCAAGGACAGTCGGTATGTCGTCCGTTTAGGTGACACTGTGAAGGCTATGAATGGCGCAGTTTTGTTCCATTCAAACCACGATTTCCACGCTCCTAACATGTTTTGTATAGATAGGCAAAATTTTGGATGTGCAATACAATTAATGGTGCCTGCACGTTCCCGCAGGTGCTCGGATATACGGGACATCCCTATTTGTATAAGAAAATAGTTCATATCGGTGACATCAACGTCTCTTTTTTAAAATAAAAAAAATAAAATATTTGTTGGCGTATAATTCATCTAGGAAAGAAAAATGGTAATCGAAAGAACAAAGGTAATAGTTTGTAATGTATTTCTCATAAACTACACTGCTGACGAGGCGTACGAAGTCAGACAGGCGACACAAACACTCCACGACGCTGGCAGCGCGGACAAGCCATCGCCGGCTTTTTCTCGGTATAGAAAGATTGTCATTGAACTATGCTTAGTGATCGAGTTTATATTTGTTTCAGCATTTTCAACTTCCTTCTTATGGCTGTACTTGAGGATGCTTTACTATTACCTTTTAAGACAATTCGTGTATCCGAAATTGTCTTTGAAATGTAACACAAGAAGGACAAACTTGTAGAAAAGGAGGCTTTTTTGCTAGCCATTTACATTTGTTTGAAAAAATAAATCTTCAATATAGTAAATATGAATGCCGCAGTTAATTCATTCTGAAACTTATGAGTTTGAGCTATTTGCGTGTAAGGATCGCCTTTCGTGGTGCCCATCTTCAACAAGTCTTCAAAGAGAAGACTGGCTCAATTGATCTAATGTGCAAGGCGTTTTCTGCATTCTTTACCTGCCCCATTAGTTTGTTTTTCAGAAAAGTCTATGTAGCAGGGGTTCACAAGTACATAATAAAAAACTATTATTTTGAAGGCACAACAAACTATGCATGCCAACATTTTAGGGGATTGCATATATCTGCTGAAATTAGATGCACTTTGTTATTGTTGGCATACACAAAGCTGAAGTCTGCCACCTTAACAATTATCTCGACGCTGAGCATGCTATATGTCCGTTTAAAAACTATTTTTTTAAGTAAGAAAACAAACTAATACGTTTTTTTTTGTGATTTGGACAATGTGAGATGTATTCTCCAGCGCCTGTGTCATATGGGCTACTAGATTTATAATTCATTGATATCTAAAAAAAACTGTTCACCACGAATAGAAAAAAAAAGAAACTGCAAAGTGTCCTTTTAAAATTATATTTCAGGTACACAATCCGGAGAAGGGAGAGGAGAGTCACTACGGCCATTCTCACAAAATCTTTCGGTGCCCTTGGTTATGATATGTGATCTTTTTGTATTTGTTTCAGCAATAACGATCAATGCTACATGACTAAACAACTAACCTACGCGAAAAATGATTGTAAAACTTTTTGGCCAGACTTGTGAAGAACGAATGGTAAAGTGACCACAAGTTAAAAACTTCAATTGATTTATTATTCTGAATGACGGTGCTTTTGTTTCGCATACGCCTTCACGATAATCTTCGTATTTGTGACTAAGTTCCTCATAACGCTATATTTCATTTGGTTGCAAAAACTTTGTTTACAGACAAAAGAATACAGGTATTGGCTAAGATCGGCGACAGGAAATTAATACAGTCGTGAAAGTGTAGGTCTTTATTTTTCTAGAACGTGACGCTATTCACATATTGCAGTAAAACTGTTGGGTCATGAGAAACGCGTAAGTTGTAGTCACCAGATCACCCGGTCGATTATTATTTAACGATCTTTCCCATCATGCTTCATTTACTTCTAAAATGCAGCTTAAAACTTATATTTTAAATATACGGCCACGTAGTCATTACAATTAAAGTATTTACTGCGTAGCAAATTGTTAATCAAAACAAGTGAGATTTAGCAATGTATCAAAACATCAAAGGTACGTCCTTACGTTTTGTATGCGTTGCAGTCGAAAAACTTGAAATACTCGGGTGTCATATTTCTGCCTACGGATAACTTCATCGTTAGGTAGGCTGAAACAAAAACAAGGGTCTGTAAATCATCAATGTGGTTCACGACATTAACGCGACCAAATAAATACGCTCACGGTCTTCGGATGGAATGGACGAGAAGGCATCAGGTTTGGGTGTTGAGCACGTGACGCCTTCAACAGTTCGAGTAGCATTTGTTTCAGCCTCCAGTCCAGACGTCGCAAAGATGCACACCAATTCCTCTTCGTCGACAAATGTCTTGTTGGTTAGCTTCACGTTTAACTGAACTCGTAGGAAAATACAAAATAATTCAGTAAAGATTACGTTTTACGAACACGATGGAAAATGATAACAACTGTGTCTGTTTGCTGTATGTGTACCCTTGCCCTTGTTGAAATCTTCGAACTCAATTACAAGTCTTCTTTTACTACAGGTTTTCCCGCTCATTTTAATCCAAGCGACGACCAATTTAATCCCGGGGTCACTCAATTTAATCCAAGCGCCATACAATTTAATCCAAGCGCCACACAATTTAATCCCGGGGTCAGTCAATTTAATCCACAATATATATATGGACTTATTGTGTTCAGTGGTCGTGTTTTGCTTACACATTTGGTAACTTAGAATAATTGTTTATACAATTTGAATTTTTGGGGGGCAATTGAGAATTTTATCACTAATGTGATTACTCTGAGTTACTAGTCCCACTATTGACGAGGCTTAATTGATATGTTGGTTACTCTTTTTACACCGCAGCTTTTAGGCACCCGTTTCCGGGTTAAGCGGCGTCGGCATCGCCGACGCCGTCGGCGTAGCCACGCGGTGCATGATGGGCAAATTGCCCCGCTAAATTTAGCGGAAAATTTTTACTGCTAAATCTAGCGGAACACTTTCCCCGCTAAATTTAGCAGAAAATTTTCCCCGCTCTATCTAGCGGAAAATATTCCCCGCTATATTTAGTGGAATATTTCCCCCGCTAAATCTAGCGGAAAATTTTCCCAGCTTGATTTATCGGAAAATTTGCGCCGCAAAGTCTAGCGGAAAAGCTTCCCCGCTAAATCTAGCGGATAATTTTTAAGCTAAATCTAGCGGAATGTTTTTCCTGCTAAATGTAGCAGAACATTGTCCCGCTAAATTTAGCGGGCAATTTTCTCCGCTAAATCTAGCGGAAAATTTTTCCCGCTATATTTAGCCGAAACTTTTCCCCGCTAAATCTAGCGGAAAATTTTCCCAGCTAGATTTATTGGAAAATTTGCCCCGCAAAGTCGAGCGGAAAAGCTTCCCCACTAAATCTAGCGGAAACCTTTTACTGCTAAATCTAACGGAACATTTTCCCCGCTAAATTCAGCGGAAAATTTTCCCTGCTCTATCTAGCGGAAAATATTCCCCGCTATATTTAGTGGAATATTTCCCCCTTTAAATCTAGCGGAAAATTTTCCCAGCTAGATTTATCGGAAAATTTGCGCCGCAAAGTCTAGCGGAAAAGCTTCCCCGCTAAATCTAGCGGAAAATCTTTAACCTAAATCTAGCGGAAATACTTTCCTGCTAAATCTAGCAGAACATTGTCCCGCTAAATTCAGCGGACAATTTTCTCCGCTAAATCTAGCGGGAAAACTTTTCCCGCTATATTTAGCGGAAAATTTTCCCCGCTAAATATAGCGGAAAATTTTCCCAGCTAGATTTATTGGAAAATTTGCCCCGCAAAGTCGAGCGGAAAAGCTTCCCCGCTAAATCTAGCGGAAAAACTTTCCCGCTAAATCTAGCGGAAAAACTTTCCCGCTAAATCTACCGGAAAATTTTTACTGCTAAATCTAGCGGAACATTTTCCCTGCTAAATCTAGCGGAAAGTTTTCCCACCTATTTATCAGAAAATTTGCGCCGCAACGTCTAGCGGAAAAGCTTCCCCGCTAAATCTAGCGGAAAATTTTTAAGCTAAATCTAGCGGAATGTTTTTCCTGCTAAATCTAGCAGAACATTGTCCCGCTAAATTTAGCGGTCAATTTTCTCCGCTAAATCTAGCGGAAAATTTTTCCCGCTATATTTAGCGGAAAATTCCCCCGCTAAATCTAGCGGAAAATCTTCCCAGCTAGATTTAGCGGAAAATTTGCCTCGCTAAGCCTAGAGGAAATTTTTCCCCGCTATATCTAGCGTAAAATTTTTTCCGCTAAATTTAACGGAAAATTTTTCCTGCTAAATTTAGCCGGAAGTTTTCCTCGCTGTTTAGCGGAAAAATTTCCCCGCTAAAATTTGCGGAAAATTTTCCCCGCTAAATCTAGCGGAAAAGTTTCCCCGCTAACTTTAGCAGAAAATGTTCCCCGGTAAATCTAGCGGAAAAATTTTCCCCGCTGAATTAAGCGAGAAATTTTCCCCGCTATATCTAGTGGGGACATTTTCCGCTAGATTTAGCGGAGAAAACTTTACGCTAATTTAGCGGGAAAAAATTTTCCGCTAAATTTAGTGGGAAAATTTTTACACTAGATTTAGCAGGGAAAATTTTCCGCTAGATTTAGCGGGAAAAATTTTCCACTAGATTAAGCGGGGAAACTTTTCCGCTAGACTTGGCTGGGAAAATTTTCAGCTAAATCTAAAATTTTCCGCTAGATTTAGCGGGGAAAACTGTACGCTAGATTTAGCGGGAAAAATATTCCGCTAAATCTGGTGGTAAAAATTTTACACTAGATTTAGCGGGGAAAACTTTCCGCAAGACTTAGCGGGGAAAATTTTTCGCTAAATCTAGCTGGTAAATTGTTCCGCTAGATTTAGCGGGGAAAAATTTCCGCTAGATTTAGCGGGAAAACTTTTCCACTAGATTAAGCGGGGAGACTTTTCCGCTAGACTTGGCGGGGCAAATTTTCCGCTAAACCTTGCTGAAAACTTTTTCCGCTGGATTTAGCGAGGAAAATTTTCCGCCAGATTTAGCGGGAAAAATTTTCCATTAGATTTAGCGGGGAAGCTTTTCCGCTGGACTTTGCGGGGCAAATTTTTCGCTAAATCTAGCTGGGAAAATTTCCCGCTAGATTTAGCCGGAAACTTTTCCCGCTAATTGTAGTGGAAATATTTTACACTAGATTTAGCGGGGCAAATTTTCCGCTAGGCTTAGCGGGGGAAAATTCTCCGCTAAATCTTGCTGGGAAATTTTTCCGCTAGATTTAGCGGGGAAAATTTTCCGCTAGGTTTAGCGGGAAAATTTTTCTACAAGATTTAGCGAGAAAACTTTTCCGCTAGATTTTGCTGGGCAAATTTTTCGCTAAATCTAGCTGGGAAAATTTTCCGCTAGATTTAGCGAGGAAAACCTTCCGCTAGATTTAGCGGGAAAAAATTTTCCGCTAAATTTAGTGGGAAAAATTTTACACTAGATTTAGCTTGGAAAATTTTCCGCAAGACTTAGCGGGGAAACTTTTCCGCTAAATCTAGCTGGTAAATTGTTCCGCTAGATTTAGCGGGAAACATTTTCCACTAGATTTAGCGGGGAAACGTTTCTGCTAGGCTTTGCGGGGCAAATTTTTCGCTATATCTAGCTGGGAAAATTTTCCGCTAGATTTAGCGGGGAAAACATTCCGCTAGGTTTAGCGGGAAAAAAGTTTCCAATAAATTTAGCGGGAAAAATTTCACGCTAGATTTAGCGGGAAAACTTTTCTGCTAGACTTTGCGGGGAAAATTTTCCACAAGAATCTGCGGGGCAAAATTTTCGTTAAATCTAGCTGGGAAGATTTTTCGATAGATTTAGCAGGAAAAGTTTTCCGCTAGATTTAGCGGGGAAATTTTTCCGCTAATTTTAGCGGGGGAATTTACCCATCATTCACCGCGTGGTCACGCCGACGGCGACGGCGACGCCGACGCCGCTTAAGCCGGAAACGGGTGCCTAAGAGCTGCGCTCTAAAAAGAGTAACCAACATATCAGTTAAGCCTCGTCAATAGTGGGACTAGTAACTCAAAGTAACCACATTAATGATCAAATTCTCAATTGCCCCCCGAAAATTCTAATTGTATAAACAATTGTTCTAAGTTACCAAATGTGTAAGCGAAACACGACCACTGAACACAATAAGTCCATATATATATTGTGGATTAAATTGACTGACCCCGGGATTAAATTGTGTGGCGCTTGGATTAAATTGTATGGCGCTTGGATTAAATTGAGTGACCCCGGGATTAAATTGGTCGTCGCTTGGATTAAAATGAGCGGGAAAACCTGTAGTACGCGCATAACACATATGTATGTCTCAAAATTTCCTTGAGATCCATTCACATTTTACTTTATACAACCTGTAATCTTATGAAGCATGGTAAACTACTTCTGGACTAATACTCTACTTCCTTCCGCTTTGTGCCATGTGACATACGCGTGCCGTCCTTAAGAAAGCAAATACTTTTTGTAAATAATGAAGGGGCGGAAGTTATTGCAAAACTACTGTGCTCCTGACATTTATTAGTTTAATGTTATGAAGCGGGTATAAATTTATGAAATATTTTAAAATCTCTTGAACTCAGGGAAAATTATAAGACGGATAAGGATTTTAGTAATAAAGGTTACGTGCTTAAATAGCCTTTGCCCAATGTAAGCCAGGTATTAAAGTGTTCTTAAAATTATAGGAAGTAAAGTTTCACTTCATTAATACCAATTGACTGGTACCAAAAGCGCGGTGTGCATTACGCAGGGTGGGATGTGGAAAAAAAAAGTGTAAACATTTTTGAAGTAACTGACTTGGCGAATGGTTGATCTTTGAGCCTCTGAGGGCGAGATATTGGTGATCGGACTGCATTGAGTTTTGTAGGAAAGCCAGTGCACCGGATCATCTGCTGCCTTCTCACAATTGGCTCTCAAGCTGCATCTGCAAACACACGTAAAAAAAGAAATTTAGAGCAAGCAACGTTCACAACACTCTATTTGTTGAACTATTTACATGTCACCGTAGACTTCCCTTTGCATGAAACTGCAAATGTGGTCTAGCGAATGCAGTCATGTATTTGTATAATGAATCTTTTATTATTCAGAGAGAAACTGAGCAAATACACGTGTCTCCAATTGCTTCGTAATTATAAATAAAAAGACAATTTGAATGGGGACGAATATTCGTGGGAAGAAAGCTGTTCATTTTGATGACAGATGACTAACTTCTGTCTTTTATTTAAGCCTTTAAGTGTTCACTCCTCCTCTGAATACTAATAACTAATTGTTATATTATATTATCGGGTGACATTAACGCATCCCTCCACTGAATATAGCTTATACCTAATTTGAATAGTCTGAAAAAAAAAGGAATGCGGGGGTCATAGTTCAGGTTTACAGCTATAGATGCTTTGGTGTGTTGTGCATGTATATAACACTCAAAGTATACATACTTCAATGAGTGATATATTTTCTTCTGTGTTTACATATGACCGGTTCAAATATTGCAATGGGATTTACATTCAAATATTTTATGTACATTACTTTACTGTTAGGTCCAGTCTCCTCGATAGCTCGCGAGAGTGAAACTCTCGCGAAGAATCGTGCTAGGGGAAGACGCTCCCGTAGTAGTTACTGACAACTGTTATGACGCTGTATACACCGACATGCTACAAAACGAAGGGCGTGATTTACAGAGTTCACGCTTTAGACTTAGGGATTCATTTCTTGGAGTTTTTATTGACTAATGTCGCACTCTCGTCTGCTGGAAAGTGGTATTGAGACCCTGAGGACGCACTAGCATCCGCGCATCTTAATGTAGCCTCTTAGTATGGTGGCAGCGATATGAATCGCACTTTTGGATAAATCAGACGCCAATACGTTTTTTGAAGTAATAGATGGGTTAAATGTTTCTCCTCGTTTTACTCCAGCTTCAGCTTTATGATAGGCACACTAGCCGACTTGTAACTGTACCGTGAAAAGCCGCTAGTAAACACAGCCTTGAGGAGCGCACGATGAGTGAGCTAAAAATAGAGGCAGGACGCCCCAAGAGTCGAAAAACAAATAACAAAAACGTAAGTCTTTTTTTCACAATTCAACATAAACAATCAGTGCGTTATTTTTTATTTGAAATAATTATTACTTAAAATGCACCCTTCATATTTATAAATCATGAAGGAGAGATACGTTTATTTGCCGAACCTGGTTTTGCAAACAAGTATTTATTCTTTCCTGTAAAAATCCCAGATTTCCGCCGACCGCACGGCCTGCATATTTACGATATCAAATCTTGAACTGTTATTTCTCGTGTACCACTTTGATGGGCTTCATGAGAGGTAAACACAGAGTGCCTCTAAGCCTAAGGAGTGACAAAAAGACCAACAAACAACGCCGACTAAAAAAAAAAAAAAGAAAAATCAGAAAGCATTAAACGGAAATTGATGTCACGTGGTCTATGGACCAATATAGTTTCACCGCTAAGTTTAATAAAAAAATAGACATCAGATGTCCTAAGCACACATTCTGTTTACCCGCTGAGTTCCGGAAATATTGGTGTCGCGTGACCTGACGCCACGGGACCTAAAGACATTTTAAAATTTCCTGTTCAATTTAGCGGAACAATTGCCTCCTCGGGACCTATACACCAATTAACTTTTCCCGCTAAATGTTGCGGGGAACACAAGACGACGTTAAAATAGTTTATTCACCAACAACATATCGTCGCCAAATCGAAGCAACGTTATTTCAATATCAAATCACTGTATGACGTAACGTAAAAAAAAAAAAAAAAATGTCCGAAGTACCCAAGTTAAAGTCAAACTTGCTTCTTCTTTGATCATTTGGTGAAGTTGTCTGGAAACTACGTTACCTTTAATTCACTCAGAGCGACAAGAAACAAACATGCCAAAACACTCAATCCAATCATGTGGAGAACATATAGTTATAAATGCTACTTTTATCCACGTACTCTTCAGAAATGGAACCTGCTCCCCTGAACTATTGCCTCCGCAGGCATAGCACCAACATTTTTATACCCACAGAATGACCGGCCCGCTTTTTCATGTTTCAAGTTTATAAAATTCATGACGCTGTACTTTTTGTGCGTCTGTAGGCTGGGAGGCTTTCTTTGTTTGTATAAAACGATAATGGCGTGCTTTTCCCAATTTTTGTGCGGTGTTCTATTTAATTTAGGAGAGTATGGCGTTGTTCAGCAGTTATGGGTACAGTGGTACAAGACCTTTGCATTTTTATTGAGGTATTTCAGCTGTGTATTTTCTATCTTTTCTACCCTTTGGTGGTCAGGAGTATATACAAATAATAATATAAAAAAGAGTCCCTAACGTGGCCCTAATTCGCCAAACAAATATAAAAGTATGGCTCCAGTGCTCGTAATTTGCCTTTCGTCAGGCATCTTTAGACGTAAATTAATAAACGAGTGTCAGTGTGAGGTTACACATCTGGTTGTTCGGTTTTCATGTGGCAATTTTGGGACTAAATTGCCGAACAAGTGTCATATTTAGGCGTTAGTGCGGGTTCATTCGTGGTATCCTTGGCTCAAATCAGGCACTTTGGCAGTTAAGTGGTGGATAAAATTAAATAACCACAGAAGCCACAGTGTTCTAATTACCAATAACCACAGTGTTCTAATTATAAAAAGGAAAAACTTGACAAAATACTACATAAAATTGCAATTAATATTACTTATGGAACAACCTACTCTGAGTTGGAAATTAATAGGAAAATGAATATCTTAAATTTTTTATCCATAGAGAAACTACACAGTTATGTTATTTTAGTAAAGCACTATTATAAGAGCAACTTTAAAATCGTATTAGAAAAGGAACGAACACTTAGGCGCAAAGAAAGTTTTGTTTTTCTAAGATTTATACAAACTATGGAAAAAAAAGACGGGCATATTACGTCCCATTTTATTTTAACAGGCTTCCAGACACTTATTATAACATGGAGTCACTGAAACAAGTCAAATATGAATTAAAAGAGTGGTGTTTGAATTTTGAAATGTAATTTGGCTTTATTGCTTTAGCAGTCCACTGAGTTTTGTCACTTTTCTTCTTGTCTGATTTTTATTCATTTATTTATGTATTTATTTTATGTGTGCCAGTAATGCACATAATAAGAGGATTTCAGTGTAGCAGCCCGCTTTGACGCCAGGTCCCGCATACAAGCATACCAGTGCTTTTGCGGGCCTGCATATGTATTATGTTTATGATGTGAATAAAATTTCCTTTTCTTCTTATTATTATTATTAAGCGGAAAAATATTTCTCGCGCACTAATTAACATTTTGAAAAAAAAGAAGCCACATTAGGCGAAAGTAAGGCGCTTCGGAGTTCATAAGGAAATACAGCGTGAAGAGGACAAGGACAGATTGACGAGAAAACAGGGCAAGCGTTGAGTAGCAACTGATATTAATAAAAGAAGAACCTACAGATGTTTTTGTTTCATTGGAATCATTTGGTAGCCAGCGCTTGTCATGTGTTTTCTCGTCTTTCTCTCTGCGCTATACTTCGTTTCAGCTTCCGTCTGAGCGCAGCCAAAGCTACGTGTGGCCGGAGCCAATCACACGCCGGCAATAGGTCACGTGATCTCGTCTGCACTTTTGTATCACTTCGCTGCGCCGCTGGTCACCCGCGCCGCCCGCGCTCGCCGAGTATTTCGTCTGCTAAGGGTGTATCAACGATATCGTCTGCTACAGGTTTAAAAAGTGCCCTTTCACGTTCTGAAACTTAGTCACAGGGGATGTCAGTACGTAGGCTGGCCGCTGGCATCTGTGCCCGAGCTTTCCACCTGTTCGGCATAGTTTAGAGATGTAAGTACACGTTGCAAGGTCCCCGATGACCCGGCCGTTGATGTTTCCTTGTATTGTTTGGATATGCCAGGGCTCGAGGCGCAGTCCTTTCCACCAGTTTCTCGGCGTTCAATATGATCGGCAGGTAAAGGGGTGCCTTGATTTCGCCGCGTATCTGAATTTTAGTGGGACGCTTTGCTTGTTTACAACGCATTCGCGGTACGACGCGGCCGGAGTCTCCTGCCGAATTTGAAAGTAGACATTCATCACGACCTCTCGCGCCTGACGTCCAAATGTGCCTTTGCGAACGGGCGTTTTGAAGCGACTCAGTGAGAAAAGCAGCGAAGCACATGATTCGGCGATTTCAGGAACGAAATCACACGGAAAAACCGTGCGCTCCAGCCGTGTTGCCAGCGGATATACATGTTTTCACCAAACCACATGCATTTACATATATTAATAGAAGCATAAACTTCAGAGAATTGATTCCTTTAGTTGCAAATAGTTCTCAGCAGTACACATCTGGAGCAGTGTGCAGCTTTTACGCACAAAACAGTTATTTTAAAAGAAATTACTTTTGTGAACTACTTTGTGGTGCGTAGGAATGCTCAACTCGAAGTCGCGAACCGTCCCCTCAGCCTTTGGCTGCGCTCGGACGGAAGCTGAAACGAAGTATAGTCGCGCTGTATTTGATTATGAACTCTCACCAACTTGCCCAGTTGTTCATCTGACTACGCCCCGGAGTGCCAAGCTTGAACCATGATTGGCGTTTCTCTTGACTGATAACTGGGTTATGAACTTTTTTATGTTATTAGAAACGTAACCTGTAGTTTCTAGAAACGAACACCTACTTTTTCTCTGGCCCACACCATCCACAGTACGGATCCCGGTTCGAAGTGCAGACGCCGCATTTGAGGTAGCGAAAGCATTGTTGCACATCGACGGCGCTGAGCTACAGTGAAAGAACAAAACCATTCGCTCACAAATTTGTAGAATTAAAGTAAAAACCCAAAGTAGAAAGAAGGCTATCGACCGCTTGCTTATACGGGCTAATTTAGGCTCCATCAGTTTTGACACTGCGAAAGTCCGGCGTAGGGTCGCGCTGATCTGGCGATGAATTCAAGCTTAACCTGTAAAGAAGTTTGCAGTACAGAATCATCCGCGGAACATGTATGCGTGAGAAAATAGCATTTTAATTTGTTGCTCAAAGTAAAATAAAACACCGGACGGAATAGTTCTAAACGGGGCTTCCCTTCTAGTATTCTTCATCGACACGCGCGCAAAAAAATGTATCTTGTGCACGTGTGTCGTTTTTGCTCCGTGCAGTCTCGGTTCTGTGTTATGTTTGGTAATCTACAAATCAAAAGTCAAATTGGACGCTTTAGTGATTTATACAGCGTAAGATCTGTCTGCCAGTAGGGCGACACTGGTTTACACTCTAGATGAGCAATTTCGCCAGTGCAGTGCGACGCTAACCTGGGGTTTTTAACGTGCTCACGCAGTAGTGATACACGACCGCACGCCGGTACGATGCTCATCCAGATCTGAACGGGCAGGGTGGGGCACGAGCCCAGGATCCCTGGGTTCTCCAACGCGAGCTTTCGCTCCACGCGCATCGAGCTGGGTGTGCGCTTTAGCCCACTCGGCCGCCGATGCCCCCCTGGTAATCTACACCAGATCCTTTGTTCCCTGCTTTTTTGTTGATTAAAAGAGAAAGTTTGTTAGTGAAATATTATTTAGGCCAAATGGTTTCGGCGACCGACTCCGGTAGCTAAAACAGCAGTAGCTGAACCCTGGAATATAATCTTATACATTTATATAATTATCACTCTCGTTCGACTGTTTCGTTCGATTTGATACACTGTGAGTCAATTCTATGTTGGTGCAAAGACACTCTAATATTTACTGCACATATATAGTGGCTGACATTTTAAAAAAAACGTAGAGCGCGTCGAGACACCAGAGTCTTGTTACCGCTCCGCAGCTGATACGATTACAGGATTAGCCATAGCCTTCTATATGCTGACAAAGCCTGGCAGATCGCCACGAGAAGCTGCCGCGGAAATGAAAAAGGTGGAGCGGCAAACAACGGATGAGAGGAGAGCCACATGACTGGCGCCCTGCTGCGGCGGCACGCCGAAACACTCTTTTCCCGAGCGAACAATTGTGTTTCGGGTCCTCGCCGCTGCAAAAGCTGGTCGCTGAGGTGCAGGTTTCCCAAGAAATGGGTCTTTGATTCTCTGTGCTATCAGATCCTCGCGCTCCAAATCTGCGACCGGGCAATCTATGACTCCGTCGTCGAACTGCCAGGCCATGTGAGTATAGAGGAGGCTATGTGTTAGCCGATAGGAAAACCGAGGAGCAAATCCCGAATCAAGAAGTGTGAGCACAATAAGCCACGCTTGCGTTCCTTCACCTATCAGTGAGTATGGCACATTCGCTCTCGCTTTATTATGTTTACACTTCTTGCATCGTAATGCCTCCTCCAGGTTCCCTTTTTGCCGAACCCTGCATTCCCATTGGCCATGCAGCGATATTGAGATTATCGGGTTCTCGCCGTGCCCTGCGTTTCCTAAGCCATCGGGAAATATAAGAGAAAAGTATACATTCCTTACCATGTAATCAGTCATCACGTAGATGCGGTCCTTGCTTGCGTCAAATAACATATCCCGAAGAACTGGGTTGCCCTCGTCGACGGCGATATCGTCTACTTCGTAGCCGCTCGTCGCAGATTCCAACAAGACCTGCGCAAAACGCGCAATGCGCAAATGGCCGGTTCACCATCATTGAGTGGAAAGAAACCGTAAGATGTACTAGGGACAGGCAATATAACACATACCTGTCTCTGGCTGTTAAATATCAATATTTCCAATCAAGATTCGATTTGAGCGTTAGAAATCCGTTCACAGTTGATCGTAATATACTAAAATTAAACATATATTTTGCTAAAACTATATAATTATAACTACACTCCGTTTCATTTTAAGCCTGATTGCTACTGACGCCAATCCGATGAAACTGAACAAGCGGCGCAACAAACGCATCCTCTCAGCGCACTTTTTTTTTTTTTTTTGTTGTTGTGTGATTTGCTATTTCCGGCTTGCCCTATCATGCACGAAAAAAAAGCGTTGCATTGCAGCGTAGTATTGCAGCGCAGCTCCTGCGCTTCATTTTTTGACGTTTATACGAAACGCAGAAAAACGATAAGCGCCGTGAGAATACACTTTTGTCTCGTTTGATTGACTGCATTAGATCGTTTTTTGTGCATACATTTTTTCCCTGAAAGCAACACACGTAAAAGCTTGAGTCTGATAAACTCACCCGCTAGAAACACCATTGTGAAAGGTCGAATGCGCTCGGTTCATGGGTTTATTTATATGAATATGTTTACTCACGAGCAGCGCTCGATATTTAAGCGAATTTAGTCATATTTTCAGAATGCTGGAGCAACACTTTGTTTCTCTATATGTTCGCAAAAAGCCGTCGTTAGGAGCTAAGTGGACCACCAATCAAAGAGCGTCAAAATCGCATAAACATTGTGTTCGTCATGGTTATGTACAATTGCGGAGATTATGAACTGAAACAGTATTGCGTGCAATTTTAGCGTATCTGCCGGATTTTCAGAGGGCTTTGATCCAAACTAGTGAGGGAATGCAAAGACTAAGCCCAATTCTTCAAACACCTCCTGATTCAATCTTTCAGTTTATATTGTGCGGCGGCGACTCGTGTTTTTAATACTGATGGATTTGTTCCATCAGATCGTAGCGTCGTCTGCCCCCAGACTGAAGGTAAAACGTGGTATGGTACAATCTAAGATGTGATATTCTAGCCTTAATAGCTTAGAATGCTTATGCAACATCCTCCAATGATGCGACCTAGTCGTAAAAAAAGTGGTTGAAAGGAAGCACACTGTTGAGAAAAATGTATAAACTCATTTAAACTACCCTCCCCTTCCATAAAAAATCAGTACCTAAATAGGACACATATGGAAAAACGTCAACGTTTCCGGACAAAAAAAAAAATTACATTGCGAGACACATTTTGAGGTAAAGTGATTTTTAATCGGGCTTCTGTGTTGAGACGCTCATACCGAAATCGACCCTATGTTTCGGAATTCCCCTCAATTTAAAATGATACACAAAATGAGCGTCCAAAGTGCTCTACAAAATTCAGCGTTTTGGATGCACGATGTCGTTGAGCACCCGAAATGTGTTCTTGATAGGTTACTTCTTTTCTTTAGTACCGCTACCTCTGCGTACCACGCACGATCGTTTTTACGCATGTAAGCAATTAATTGTGAATTCTAAGATTTAAAAAATACGTAATGAATTGCCTTGCATTATATTGTACCGTATTGGTTCATGGAACGTTAATCTGACAAGTCCCAAAAAAAAATATTCTGGGGAAAGTTTGTTTTGTTACATAGATGTGCTCTCTAGAAGCTTACAAATGTTTTACGCGAGTTTAGTGAGCCTTTAATATGCAAACGAAAAATATCAATATCTGAACGGGTTTGTTAAAAATATAGTTCACCTTCTTCAAGTGTCCTCGATTTGTTCCCAAGAAGACGGCAGTGAAGTTGTAGATCGTCGTGGCCGCTACCGAGGTGAGCTGCGTGTCCGTGTAGCTGAGCGCGGACTTGGCAGTAATGGGCTTGCTTCCTTCCAGCGGTGTGTTGACTTCCAAGCCGCAGAAAAGGTCCGTTATTGAAACAGGCTGGTGGGAGATGAAAGTCAAAAATTGGTTGGTGCATAGGTGTATTATAGTGCCGGAATTTCGGTAGAACTAAGTGCTGGTGGTACAAGAAATGAAAGGAGGGGGAGGGGGGGGGTGAGCTAACGCTTCGCCGAGTCGCGCTTGATAGTCGCATGAACTGCCCGTGTCGCAAAAGACGCGAGTTCTGCCGCTCGGCCACTGTCCAGAGAAATGAACGGATTCCGAAATCAACGCCTGCCGGAGCGGCGTGTGTCGCCGTTTCAATTAGACAGAAGCGTCTCGCGTTGAAGCGAGCAAACGAGGAAGCCCAGCAGATAAGAATTAGCTGCAGAAACCACTATTGTTGCTTGCCTATAAATTGCTACACTATGTGTCTGGGTCCTAGAAGACGACGTTAAAGGCGACGTTTACGATTACCTCTAGGACTAACTTTAGGGCGATCTCAAGGACAACCTGTACTATGATCTCAAGGACGACATCCAGGAGGACGTCTAGAACGACCTCTAGGACAATCTGAAGGACGATCTCTGAGACGACCTTTAGGACGACCTGAAGGAAAACGTCTAGGACGTCATTTAGGACAACGGGAAAGACGACCTCTAGGAGGACGCCGACGACGATGTCATCGTCGCCAGGTCCTTCGAAGAGGGTGCGATTGTGCAGGAGTCTGAAAATGTGAGCTGAAATGGTCTACTGCACAACAGGAAGTCAGAAAGTCGAACAAAACCATGGAGGGAGGGGGGGGGGGGGTAGCTAAAGCATACTCTCGCATTAAAAACCAACTACCCAAGAAGCTAACATGTACCCTTCCAGAGGACGCTCGTGCGCACTGCCCGGTTCTTGGCAGCAGGCGAACATCACCTATACTCGGCGACAACTTTTCTTCGCAATGCAATCTGTTCTCCGGGGTAAATATTTACAACGAAACAACCAGGAGGGGTCTTTTGAAGTTACAATCGTATGACCGGTCCAAGGTAAGGATGTAATTGGCAAGACCGGTGGGGGGCATTGAAACTAAGGATAATTTCTCACGTATAATGTTGAAGGACAAATCAGAATTGTACAATTGAATGAAGATTTCACCGAAGTTTGCCCATCATGGCAATACAGTTAACAAGTCACAATGGTACCCTGAAGTAATTCGGTTTGGAAATGCGGGAAACGGACTACAAGGGTGAGTTATACACTTTATGGCTGAGCAGAAACAATTGACGGTACTTTGCAGGAGTACTCAAGCTTAAAAGAAAATACGCAAACCAGCTGTTAAAGGTCGACATTCACTCACCGTATTTTGACAGGGAGTACTGGGCGTAATGAAATCCAGTCCTCGATTGCCTTCTCCCTTGAAGCAGTCCCTGATATTTTCAGTGAAATTCCGCATTACCGCCTCCAGCGGAAATAGGCAAAGAGCAGACTCGTTTCCCGGTCGGTCGATCGTTTCGTTCTCACTCTTCGCAAAGACAACGAAAAGGACATCATCATCGTAACCCAAAGAGTCTGCCAGGTCCGAGCCAGGTTTGCTAACAAAGCCTGCCTGGGCCAAGTTGTAGTGGGCATCTTTATCTGAACGACAGACCAGCTCCACCTCGGTGTAAGAGTGGTAGTTTGGGTCGTTCTGACAAACGCGGACCAGCTTGGAGATGAACCGCGCTCCTTCTTCGAGCGAACTCTTTTGCACTGTGAGCCAGTAAGAGAAGCCCCGGAATTCGAAACCAAATATATAAGTTATCGGAAAGTTCGTACGCGAGACGCTGTTCACAAACATCCTGGTACCCGATCTTTCAGCTTGTACTGCTACGGAGAAGGTGTCTTTGTTCGGATCAAGACTTCTTGAAGAGACGGCTGGCACATCTACCGCGTGTGACCCTTCAGTGTTCCAGCTGGTCCCGACGTACAAGACCTGCTTGTGGGGCCCGGGTCCGTTCGATATGAACAGGACGGCAGACTCGTTTGGGTCGCTGGACAGCACCGATTCGTGCGAAGGTCTTCGAAAGTCACTGACGTTTTGCAGACTGTGAAGAGTACACGAGCCACGTATGACGTTCCCGCAGACGACGAGCGATTTGATTGAGTAGTCGATGGCCATTGCTTTTGTATGGTAGTCTCGCAATTTCTCTTGGCCGGGCAGGCAGCCACTAGTCGGAGAACAGTGCGAACTGTCTCTGTAGGGTCCCATGAATGCCAGGCTCTCCGTTTCAAGGTTAGGTTTCAACTGGTAGATCCTGTTTGCGCCACCGACATAGACCTGAAATAAAGAAATAAAAGGCGGTTTGACATCACGACTGTTTTTTACAAGCTGGGATTGGCGCTAGTAACTCTGGGATTGACGCTATAGTAACACAAGTAGTCACCGACGATTAAAAAAAAAACAAAAAACGAAGGCATTAAAAACGCAGGCATCATCAAGCATCACGTTAGCTCTCCTTGGTCAATGCGATTCCAGTATCAGCCGATACGAACTAAAAAAAAAAAAAAAAAAAAAAAAACGCACGAAGCATGAGCATAATAGTGGACCATGTATGTTTTTTTAAACTTGGTGAATATAATGTAAGGCATTTATTAATGATAAAAACAGTTGCTTTTCCGCATATTAAGCGTCGGTAGGTTCGTTTCAATCATGATGTGAGAGTAATTTCTAATGCCCCAATCATGGGGAGAATATATCTAAAAAAAGAGATGGACCTTTTTTTTAACAGACCCGTGCGCTTTTTTTACCTGCAAAACCCACGGAGACCAATAATTAAAAAAACAAAGAAATGAAAAATATTTTTTTTCCCGGAATATTCACGCCGTTAGACGCAATAGACCATTTGGTAAATACCAAGCGCCCCGTACCGCACGCGGGAAATCATGGGAACGCTGTTCCTACTGTTCCCTAGTGATCGGTAGTTTCGACCGACTAGGCGTTTACGCTTTTTTGACTGTAATCCGAAGTCATCGTGAATAAGACATGATTCCAAAAAGCGCAATCTTTACAGGAACGAAAACAGGCACACATACGACAGGACTGGCGCTGTGTTCGCGTTATTTTAATCATGTATAATACGAAACAACTAGCCCAATCAAAAGACGCGTGTTCCTGAATAAGCGTTGTGTAGATTGGCGAGGCCCTGTCGTATCACTTTTAAAACTTCTATTTAATGTATACTTTTTCATACTGCGCGTGCAATCAACCCTTAAACCTGGCTGATTTGTAGAAATATTTTACAATATTTTAATTTGCGTACAGTTTCAAATACGCTGATATTAACTGAGATACTCTAAAATGCAATAAACAGCCCCGCTGACTCCGAGCTAAATCCTGGTTTTGTTTGTTATGAATTCTCGGCTTTTTAAGCAATTCCTGCTAGAAACAAGAATAATGATAATGATAATATTGAAAGAGATTTCTGCAACTCAGCCAGGTTGAAGGGTGGATTGCGTGCACAGTGTGAAAAACGCTGACATTGAAAATAAATTTTAAAAGTGATATGATAGGTCTGGGAAATCTACACGACACATATTCAAAACAACTCCGGAGAACAGTCAAAAGTGTCTAAGCATTGAATTGGTCCAAATTACCGACCACTGTGAAACTGAAGGAACACCGTTCCCATGATGCCTTGAGTGTGGGCCGGGGCGCTTAGAGTATTTAGCAATTGGTATGTTTAGGTGGAGCTAGCCCGCCTAGCCCAGGAACGTAGTTAACTACGCTCCATTTCTCGGATTACAATGGTTGGAGAGATGATTGACGTGTGGATTGTTCGTAGTAAAATTGTTTATTCGTGCCTTAATTATATTTCGTTTGGACAATAATTTTTTTTTTATTCTAGAAAAACAAATAATAAAGATGGAATCATTTTTTTTGTAAGTATCCCAAGATCGCCTTTTTCGCATTGGCGTAGATCTATAACAAATATGGCTGCCGACGCCTGCGGAGTGCTCAAGAAGCGGAGCTCATCGAGCTCATCTATTTTCACGAGTGCGAGTGGTTTTGTGTTCACCGAGGTGTCTAGATAACGATCGTATCAGCCGACGCAGTTTAAAAAAAGAAAAAAAAAATCTGTCGCCAGTATGCACTTTTGGGAACGCTGTGCGGGTGCTTGTTTTCGTTGCGGGACTGGCCTAGCGTCTGTGCGCTGATGGACGCCAACGCACAGATTTCACGTATGTACGCATCTTACTGGCATTGCAGACGAGATAGGCGGTGATGAAATAGCAGACGATGCCGGGGGCCTGTCGCGCCTCTGCTCGCACTACTAGCAGGCGGAGTTAGCGGCCAGACTAGACGCACCGGATGCCGGGAAAGAGAGACACTATTCATCCGAGCATGATCCGTCCCGATACGTATATGGTTCGGCCGAGCAGTCAAGGTAATCCAGCAGTAATACCCGGGTCTACTGATATTTTGGCGGTGCCTAGAGCGGACCGTGACGTCACAACTGAACTGAGTCTAACGTCGTAAATATTGTGAATGTTAAAAAAAAATTATTTGTGTTTTCAGAATAACGAAGGGAACCATCAAAAGGCAAAGCAGAAATAACGTTTGTAACAAAAAGAACGCGATCCACATAGAACTCGTTTTTGTGTTTCAAAGTTAGCAGTGCTTCTCATTCGCTGGGCGCCTTCCTTAAATGGAAATGTATGGCTATTATTAAGCGTTACAGAGAAATAAATGTACAGGCCTTTGTTAATAAAGAGGTCTACCTATTTTGGAATATATACGGTGCTTGTCGAAATGCACTAAAAGAAACATTTGCAAACGCATCGATAAATACCCATCCGACATATTTACTTAGACCGAAGTGTGTCTTCGAAGAGGGTGCTTAAAATTTTATATGCCCAGTGTCACATGAAGCAGATATTGTTTACTCGGTTATTTGTTTAACCAATTCACCGATTCCCGCTGCGCCACTGCAGATGACATCGTTTCACCGACAATACTTAGTAAGAGCTTATGAAACGCAGGGTGTGGCACGTCCTGTGCAACTTATATAATCGTTCCACAGTCAATGCTATTTGGACGTTAGCTGATATAAGAAAGTCTAAAAAGGAATCACAAAGCAACGACAGTGAACATAAGAACGCCCTGCGCCTCCTAAGCTGAGAGTGACTATAATGATATACAAGCATACTTTGATTCTGCTCATTATTCCGATGCACGAATTATTTATTTATTCGATCCTCTTTTATATCAAGAACCCTTTCTTGAGATTTCGGCCTTAACAAGCATAAATACTTCACTGAATGTCGTCCGAAAATTATGATGTTTGGCCGCTTCGTTGCAACGTACCTTCCCGGTATCCTTGTCCACGATCATGCGAGACACGTTCGCCCACGTCCTTAAAGTGGACGAGACGAATAGGTCAACACCGTTCTTAGCCGAGACACGGGACCCCATCAGCACTGCCAGCAGAAGAAGTGGGAGGAACCCTGGGGCAGCCCGTGAGCGGGGATCTCCCATGGCAGCTACGGTGGATTCTTCGTTCTGCGCGAAACGTTAAAGGGTGGCGGTGTGAGGTTAACTTCGATTTTCTTAACACCACCTAGAAGACAAGCCCTGCGTCTTTTGCCACCTAGCTTGCGTCAGCAGCACCGCCAGCGCGATTGGCAGCGTCTCACAACAAGTTCGACGCTGCAGCGTCTGACGTCATACGCAGGTCCTGTGTTCCAGCATAGCCTCCTATGTACTGACAAAGCGTGGCAGATCGCCACGAGAAGCGACCACCAAAATCGAAAAGGGGGAACGGCAGATAACGGATGAGAGACGAGCCACGTGAATGGCGCCCCGCTGCGGCGAGACACCGACACACACTTCTTCCGAGCGAACAAGTGTGTTTCGGGTCCTCGCAGCTGCAAAAGCTGTGGGGCTGACGTGCAGATTCCCCGAGAAATGACTCAGTGATGCTCTGTGCTACCAGATACTCGCGTTCCAAATCTGCGGCCGGGCACTCAATGGCTCCGTCGTCGAACTGCAAGGCTTTATGAGTATGGGGGAGGCTTGTTCTAGATAGTATCTCCCCCTTCCCCGTTACGGAGAAAAATAAATTGTATTTCTGCGGGACCTCCTGAAGAACGAGCAAGCTTCAACAGCAAAATGAGCATCACAGTCATCGATGGTTTCCTATTTTTGTTTGGAATGAATGTTTTTTATTATTGATATATTTAGCGGGAAAATTATTCGACATAGCCTCAAATGATCTGGCGTTTAATGTTGTCAATCTGTCCTCGCTAAATCTACCTTAAAAATTAATCTACTAAATTTAAAGGGAAAACGCTTCTCAGAATGTCACAGTGTCACGTCACAACGCAAAAATTAGCGGGCCACATCCTGCACTCTAAGCAAACCAGATCTTTTGCGGAACCTGGCCAATGACAGCTGTCGCCATAAAACGTTTCCAAACAGTTCGTCAATTCAACACCGCAGTATTTTACTGGGTAAAATATTTCTGAGTTATTTACGATGTAATGTGTAGAACATGATGTAGTGAGTAAAACTAAAACGTGGTACTGTTCAAAATTCCTGAAACGTGAATTTATTCCCCATTTCAACTATCATATCCGAAGTTTATATCATCTGTACATGCACATGACTGATTTTTGATAGTCGACGACGGATGATTTTGAAGACAGGCGGAGCCTGTCTTCAAAATCATCCGGAGCCTGCGGAGCCTGAACGTGTGAGGCGTAATGCCCCTGTCAGACGGCCACGTTAAATGACATTTAAGCAAAATGACATTACAGCTCGGTCAATCGGAGTGTTTAATACGCCACGCTGCACGTGCACACGTCACGTGCAGAACCAGCATCACGAGCTGATTCGCCGAGCGGTGAATAACATCGATCAAAATGACATTTACTTTCCCATCTGACAGGGGTATTAGTCAGCTTTATTTTTGTTCGATGTCAGCGTGAAGACACTAGTGGACTTCTATGCGCTACGCATTTGAGTGTGCCATGTGAATCCTTGGAATGCATCGCTTCGGCATGCCCCGAGATAGGTATACTGGCGATAAAATATGGTGAATGTTATCAAGATATTCACTCAAGTAAGCACTTCGCCCGAGTGATAGTTCTTTGAGACTATGCGGAGGGCAAGTTCGTCTGCTTCTTGCGCAGGGGGTAGCGGTGACGTCAGAGCGCTATGCCCTGATTGGCTGATCGCGACCCCCTATCTGAGCGTCGTCTGCTCCTTTGCAACGTCGTCTGCTCGCAACGTCGTCTGCGTCTGTCTTGCCTTTCCTGCGACTTTCGGAAGTGCAGAGGACAGATTCACGAGACGATCTTACGCCAAAAATGTGCGTAAGACATAACTTAAGAACAAATTCGTATCCATGAAACGAAATGTTCGTAAGCTTTGCGCAGGTTACGACGAAATTCTGCGACAGCTCCGAAGCTGTCTTACGCACTTCTTACGATCAAATCAGCATGGCCGACAGCGTCGCGGTCGCAACGACCCACGGACGTTTATTTTTCTACGTGCGCTTCTCACGCGTTCCGACTTCAAGCAGCAAGAAAAAAGTAAAAAGTACTTGAAACAGACCACGACGAACAAGAACGCTGGATTCACAAACACCCGGGAAAAGCTCCATCGGCCACGATTCCACCGAACGCGACCAAGGGAGCACGGCAGTTGGGCCTAGCAGGCACTCCGCGCCTCGGCGACCGTCTGCCCACGATCGGCTGGTGTCCTGAATGGAATATGCCCGCGCGACCCTTGTGAACTCTTCCCGTATTATACTTTGATCGCTGACCTCAGTTTTAGATTAAGAGGTCAATTTCTTCCTCTTGTTATCTCCTTGTTTCCCGAGGCAACGGTGACTCTCGCCGGTGAAAAAGCGGTGAATCTCCGACAGACGCAGGAAAGGTAAAGCAGCCATCGCTTTGACTAGCAGACGTAAAGCACACGACGTTAACTGCGCCAACCCGCCGACGCCGTTAAAGAATGAGGGGTCTCGCCGCACACGAAAGGAGGGAAAAAGTATTTGGGGGGGGGGGGGGGGGGGGGGGAGGAACTTGCGGACACTAACACGCACTCTCGGTTCTTACCAAAGAAACCTCGGCGCCTCGGGACACCTCGCCAGTGAGTCCTTTGACTTCCCTCCTTGATGCGCGTCTGCTAGTTTTTAGACAAAAACAACGTACCGCTCGAGTTATTTCGTCTGCCCTCTCTGAAAGGCGAAGTCGCACGAAAGGTAAGACAGACGCAGACGACGTTGCGAGCAGACGACGTTGCGAGCAGACGACGTTGCGAAGGAGCAGACGACGCTCAGATAGGGGGTCGCGATCAGCCAATCAGGGCTTGGCGTTCTGACGTCACCGCTACTTTCTTTCTCGTGCGCAGAAGACGAAAATGAGCCCACTTGCGAGGCGTATAGAAACTGAAACGAACAAAGAAAGAACTGCACAACAAAAAACACCGTAATTTTCGTACGTCTGCCCTTATTAGGTGGTACTAGGGTTCAACCGCTATTAGCAGACACAAATTGAGACATATATTTGAGCCTCTAGGTGGCACTGCATTTTGAAAATTGTCTATTCCGCGACCCGGCCGTTTAATTTTTTGTTTAAACATAATAAGGAGGCGGATAGGGACGGCCCGCTTTTTCTTTTTTTCTATTTTTCCCTAAGAGGGGTCTCTTTGTTCGCAGTATTCAATACGCTCATTGAATCCTGAGCTGTAACAGTCAAAAAACGAGTTTCCGCGCAAAACGTACTTTTTTTCCAGATATGAAGAGTCGTATACAGGCACCCAGTTGAAAATAATAACTAGTATATCCTCTCGATAAAATATAGAGTGTGGCTAGACTACACTAGAAGTCGTAAACACCAAGCTAGAAGACAACAGAAAAGGTTCCTGTATATCAGTAAAGTACTGTGTTCTAGAGAGTTGTAGTGGCAAGAGTGGCGGCTGCCGCGTGAAAATTTTGCGCGTAGACGTCATCGTAGCGCTGCTATTTTGAGCCTAGGAACGTGCCCCCGTCAGCCTCGTCGTCGGCGCTGCTCGGCGTGTACTCCTGTGGTTCGACTGGAGCTTTTCGCGACGCAGAACAATTGCTAATGTGAAAAAGTGTAGGTTTTTCTTTGCACTAATGCCTCTAGAGTGCGTGCTATCCTCTACTTTTATTATTCGCTTGTTGTTGATGGAGATCATTTGGTTAATATTGACCCAGTACTGCAGGTCGTTCAGCAACGCTATCACTTGGGCTGCACGCTTAATGGCTGCGAAAGAAACCACGCAATACTGATAACAAGGAAGAATAGACAAAGAAATCTCAAGTAATCTCTGACTTTTTTTAATGGTGCAAGGAACAATAAACTGGTGAATGGTTTTTTGTCATCGTGTTGCTGATGCGGAGACCAGCGTTGTGTAAGGTACAATGCCGAGCGCGTTTGGGAACGACGCGAAGCAGTGTGCGTGTCCGTCTTCTTCCTTGCATTTATGACCGAGATGGCAACGGAACCGGGAAGACTCCTCATCACTACACCACAAAGGAGAGTGCTACGGTGCTACGTTCGGGAGAAGCGTACAGCCTCAGCTTCGATGTTTTCTTCGCTCATCGCACATCTGCCATATGCCACAAATTCTCCTAGGGCTGGGAACTGCAGCGCCACTCGCCATATCTACGTTGGCCACCTTCACGCGGCCCATTGTAAGCGGGCACCGCTCTTGCCACTACATCATCTAAAACACTGTATAGTAAAAAAAAAAAAGCATGGTGTTGACGATGTCCATATTCCTGCCGCTCAGACTACACCTCACTGTCTAGAGCCTGCTTTCTTGTAGATGAGTCTCTGGCGATCTCCGAAGTGCAGCTTATTATGACGACAAGGAGAATCAGACACCAAAAGGAACGGTGAAACGAGTTTTGTATTTTGCGTAAATGTCACTTACAATTAGTCCGTTCTTTCTTTACTTTTAAAAAACGCGTTAGTTTTCTCCCCTCGCAGTAACAATCGCAAAAAACAAAACAAAAATAATTGCAGTCTTTACCCTTCAACTCGCAGCCGCTAGGAGCGGCCACGTGATCTTCAGACGAGCCGCCTATGTGTAACATAGCTACGCACTATCGTAAGCGCGTAGCTTATCATAGCGGCATTTTGTTATCGGCTATTTGTATTTTGCTTGAGAGCACGTGTTATCGGCATCGGGCTCTACAAAAAATGTCATCACCCCAAGCAAAGTACATATGAAGGCACCTTGGGCAGCCCCAACGTTTGGGGGCCCCGAAATCACGAGTTCACACGAGCGTTATTTTACTTGCGCTGCCGGCTTATAGACGCTTTGCAGCAGCTGTGCATGGACGCCGCCATAACTGACATTCAGTTTTTGTTTCCTCTTATTTCGCTAATTCCACTTCATCATTACCATAGCAGGCCAGGATATTGCCACATTAGATT